AGAACTGGTGGTCAGTTTCAGCAGCGGCTGAATCTGGACGCCAGTTCCGACTTACATACAGATTCAACTTAAGAACAAACGTACAGTCCCTATCTTGTACGTAACCCGGGGACTGCCTGTAAATACGAAACCAGTGACACAGATACAGGACAGAACCTGCAGCTTCTGAGAGGCAGTGACACAGATACAGGACAGAACCTGCATCTTCTGGGAGGTACATCTTCCTACACAGTACCCTTTGGGGCAGATACCCCTCTGGCCCTTGAGGTCTGGATATCCGCTTTTGGCACAAATACCTGTCTGGCACGCATGTGCACACACACATACACTCACACACACTTACACTGATATACAACATGCATAAATGATACACACACATCCTGGTAACAGTAAGTATTTCGCTGTTGAGGTGAAATGGGCTGCTTCAAAACCAAATCATTTTAAGGAAGTTGCTAATAAAAAGAGCTCTTTAGGTTATGGGAATGGGGGGGTACAGCCACCTTAGCCTTCTCACTGGGTTCACTATATTTCTGCTCTCCCCTCCACAGTTAACAGCAGGGAAAAGTTTGCGTTGTCATTGGTAAACAGCAAAACAACAAACAGTAAAACTGGCATACTGAAGAACTTCTGGCTTTGCCACCTTGTCCTTTTCCAAAATCCAGCTTTAAGGGTCCCTTAATCATCCTCTCTTCATCCGCTCCGGACACAAAACTTATACTTGCGCAAGGTCACCTTAAGATGATGAAATTAACAAAGCTTCTCTTTCTGCTCTCATTCAAATCTAACATCTCTCTTCCTTTTGGACAAGCAACATAACTGTAGTCTGCCATTGCTTCTCCTTCCCTCTCAGTCTCCAGGTAATGCAGAAGCCTAGAACTAATGACAGAATGGACAGAGGTATGCGCAGGCATACGGACACAAAGACACACTGCTTGAACTAAAGTACTGATGCAGCAAGGGAATAAGGAGACTCAGATAATGGTGCAGATTCTGACAGACATTAGCACTCCATCTTCCACGCTCTCCATCCTTCCCAGTGAACAAGTGCTAAATCTATCCCAAAACTCTCATTCAAAAAACCCACAATCAAACATTTTGATTTTCTCCCCACTTGGAGTAAAGTGAACGGCAAACATGGCCACTTACTTGTAACAGCTTGGAGAAGAGAAGGCAGAATAATCAGGAAAAGCTTCATTCTGGTAGCTCTTGTAACTATAATCCAGGCTAGAAAGGATTTTGAAGTTTTCTGGGTTACTGTAAAGGAATGAGAGGGAGTAGTGGAGATGATGTTGCTCTTGTTTAGCTAGCTCATACACATGTGCTCTCCTCTCCCAGAACTGCACACACCCACATAGGAGATGCTGCAGACTCCTCTTTGCAAGGCGCTATTGCTGTTGACACCTGCCACACCAGGTTTCTTCATGCACCACACACTGGCAAAAGTGGCAAGTTGTCCCAGGACCAGAAGAGATTTGCAGTTCCGCTCACCCTCACATTTAAGTTTGTGTGATGGGGCGGTGGGGTGGGGGGAGGGGAATCTTCCTTCACCACAGGAGGTAGGTGATTGACTCCCCTTGCCTTACCCTTAGCTCACCTGCCTAGGGAAACGACCTGAGGATCTGCTTTAAAATGCAGAAGGATCACCTGCTTTGTTTCACTTCTCGCTGCTGAGGAGGATTCCTAAGGCAAACTACCTTTTCAGTCCTGGCTGTGTGTGCCTGCTGATGCAGATGGCTGTGCAGCGGAAGGGAGCAGGGTCTCTGATGAGTGGCTTCCTTGCAGGATGCCCACGTCCTAACTAAGAGATGAGAGGAGGAGGGGTGATTTTTTTCAATGGGCTAGTGAGGACCTGGCAAGAGGGCCCTCTGCTGGACATGATATTTCATGAACAAGGCTTCAGATCAGCAGTCTCACTTCCTTCTGGCTCATTTACATATATAGTTGTACCACTCTAACTAAAACAGTTTACTGACGTGGTTTAACCCAGTGAGCATGGACTCATTTACATCCAGATAAACGTGTTTATACCAGTTCAGCTATTCCCCACAGTGGAGAAAGAATAGGCCCTTTTTTACTGATATCTCTGTGTCCACACATCCAGATAAACGTGTTTATACCAGTTAAGCTATTCCCCACAGTGGAGGAAGAATAGGCCCTTTTATACTGATATCTCTGTGTGATGGCTGTGCAGCGGAAGGGAGCAGGGTCTCTGATGAGTGGCTTCCTTGCAGGATGCCCACGTCCTAACTAAGAGATGAGAGGAGGAGGGGTGATTTTTTTCAATGGGCTAGTGAGGACCTGGCAAGAGGGCCCTCTGCTGGACATGATATTTCATGAACAAGGCTTCAGATCAGCAGTCTCACTTCCTTCTGGCTCATTTACATATATAGTTGTACCACTCTAACTAAAACAGTTTACTGACGTGGTTTAACCCAGTGAGCATGGACTCATTTACATCCAGATAAACGTGTTTATACCAGTTCAGCTATTCCCCACAGTGGAGAAAGAATAGGCCCTTTTTTACTGATATCTCTGTGTCCACACTTGCAGTCATACTAGGCTGACTAGCTGTAAAATGTCACCCCCCTACTCGAAATAGTTACACCTCTACAAACCTCATGTGTTGGCCAGGCTCTAGAGATAGAATCTGGATAGGGCTGGGAGACATGTCTGCAGTGCACTGTTTGCTCGAAGAAAGAAAGTTCATGAAACCTTGGAGCATCAGTAAGGTTTCCAGCAAACAGCTTAGCATTTGTGAAAGGGTATTTGAGCCTAGTGCTCGGAACTAGTATGGGCTGAGCTCTGTCCTGATATGCAGCAAAATATGTGTTTCTACACACATAGATCTATAGATATAAATATATACACTTATTTATGGCTCATAATAAGACCCCTATGAGCTGGCAGTGACAGCTGACCTCCAGGACGTGTGCTGGGGGATCTGAGATGGACCAGCAGACAATGGCTGGGAAGAGAAGAAGGTGAAGGAGAAAGGAGATGAAGAAGCAGAGAAATTGCAGTACTAATAGAGAGGCTGGAGTAGAGATGTAACCAGTAATCAGGCCTCTCTCCATCACCACTGCTTATCTTCTGCCTGCAGTAGGTAGTGACCTCCCAATGTGCCAGGTTATTCCTGATGAGTGTAGGACCACACTGGGGACAATGTGGAGCTGCACCATCCCTGGGGAATGGTTTATGCCTCAGGTCTCCTACACACACCTTGTTGCATCACACTCCATTTTCTATGGGCTCTTTATTCTCTCCTACTCTGAGTTATTCCTTCCTTCTGGGACAGCTAGTTCCCTGAGAGGCCCAAAGAAACAGCTGTCTCTGGTGCAGGGAAGCCACAGTTGTGCTTGGTCTTTGCAGAGGGAGGGAGTGGAGAGAGGTTGACAAGGTTCTTTGCACCTTCCTCAGGCACTCACTTTCTCAGTGAAAGGAACAGGGTGCAGTTAGCCCCTGAGTTTCCTTAGCATCTGGTTAACACAGCACAGGAGTCCAGCAGAACTGAAGAAAGTGCGGTATGCCTACATTACCCTCCTAGTTCGAACTAGGAGGGTAGTGTAGACATACCCTGAGTTTCCTTAGCATCTGGTTAACACAGCAGAGGAGTCCAGCAGAACTGAAGCAGGGTGCAGTTAGCCCCTGAGTTTCCTTAGCATCTGGTTAACACAGCACAGGAGTCCAGCAGAACTGAAGACAAAACTGATTAAGTTCCTGATGCTCCCATTATTGTTACTAGTGTTCCCTGTAAGTTATGTGCTTGGGAGGCTGCTCAGGAGAGATTCAATGCTGCCCCACTGATTAGGAGAGCACCCACAGCTAGGTGTTTAGTTTCTACTAGTAGTGCACATTTGCACATGCCATAGTGCACATGCAAATTATTCTGCACATGGATTGAAAAGGTGAGAGGGAACACTGACTGTAGCAATCCCCATTCTGTAAGTGTAAGGGGTGCTGCTCCTGGGTGGCCCACCATGACCAACATCTCTTCCATCATTCACACAAAGCAAAACCCTGTACCAAAGTGACCTCAAAATGGCAAATAAATCAGCCAACCATCACTTGGGTACTGGTATGTCAAAGTGGAACTGATAGGCTGAGCACACACAGTATCTTCTCATCATCTGCTTTCCACCCTTCCTGAAAAATAGACCCATTTGCTGCAAGCTCTGCAGGAGGAAAACATATATTTGGCCCACTATTTCATCAGTTTCTGTAAACAGGTCCTTAGTCTTCTGTGGATCTAGCAGCAGCCAAGGTACAGGCTTAGCTTATAATGTAGTCATGTTTCTTTGTCCATCCATTCTAGGGTGCCTTCCATTCTAGGATGGGTCCCAATACACTTTACAAAATTTCATGAGTCTCACAATGACCCCAGTAAGCAATGGGAGTTTGGACTAGCTGAGGATTAGAACCCAGCAGTCAAAACCCCACAAGTTGTTGCTCAAACCCCCTAGGTCATACATTTCCACGAAAAGTCTGTTTCCTTGTCCTTTCCTCTTTATGGTGGGAAAAATCACAGGTGCCGGTATCTTCCAAATGCATCCATTTAAGGCATGAAAATAAGACAAGGCTCACAGTACATTGTGCAGACATTTGTGACCTCCCCCCCCCTTCCCTCTTGCTTACATAAGACATAACCAGTGAAAAGGTTACAGTTTTTGCACTGAAATCATGATCACTGTGCATCTGAGTTAACCACCCTCCCCCCGAAATGAATGGGCAGATGCCTCTCTGCAGGAGCTACACTCAATTCACATCTTATAGGGGTTTCACTGCAGTCATGTAACACCGAAGACTCACTTGCTATTTTACATGAAAGATGACATTCTGGAGCACAGCCTCTTCAGAGAGGTGCCAGTGTGGTGTATAGGCATGCTCCTGCTGTTCCCAAGCCCTGGGACATACCCTGTTTGAAACCAGGAAAATTGTCCCAGCACAAATCCTGTTGCACTAGTGTGAATTGTGTCTGAATTAGGGGTTTGCATTGGAGAAGCTATTCCAGTGGTGAACACCCTAATGTAGGTAAGGCCACTGTGCAGGCCGATGCCATTAGAAATGGAGCAAACAAAGCTGGCATGCTAAGGTGCGATCAAAACCAATTTGCAGCTGGTTGAACAGTGACAACATTTATTCACAGAGCTATTGGACTGAAGGGCAACATTCATTAAGAAACCATTTCTCCTAACATTTCTTTAGTCAGCTGTAGAGCCAGCTTACTAAAGACTAGTATCAGAGGGGTAGCCGTGTTAGTCAGAATCTGCAAAAACAATGAGAAATCCTGTGGCACCTTATAGACTAACAGATTTATTGGAACATAAGCTTTCGTGGGCAAAGACCCACTTCGTCAGATGCATGACACATCTGACAAAGTGGGTCCTTACCCACAAAAGTTTATGTTCCAATAAATCTATCGGACTAAAGACTGAAATTAGCCAGGAATATTTTATAAACACACAAACATATGGCAGATAAATGATTTGCAAAAGAACGCCCCAGCCAGCATTAACTGGTAGGTAAAGGGAAGGCAATGCTGATATTTCCTATCCTGAGTAGCCTCCTCTACTGGTGTCCTTCAGGTTTCTATCTAATCTAATCTAATCTAATCTAATCTAATCTAATCTAATCTAATCTAAGGATTTTATACTGCTATCCGTCAATTTAGCACAGTGGTAGGCCCATTTCTGGTCTATGGATGGCCTACAAAATGTTTTGGTTACTGCTGCCCATGCGCAGGGTTGCCAGATTCTGCTGGATTCTGTAGTTTTTCCCCATCAGTATTACTAAAGTGACATGCACTTAAAGTAAGGGCACATAAAGTGAGGAGTGTGCTGATTGCACACAACATTGGTGGTGAGAGCTGTGCACTGCCTCTGCATCCAATCAAAGCGCTGCTATGATTCAGTCGGCACACCCTGCAGATTCTAGGAGCATAAGTGCAGTTAGCAAAACTATATCCTGGGATACAGGCTTGGTTATGACAATCTTGCACCCCACTGAGATGAAGGGGGGCCACTCTTGTGGCCTACTCTCTAGCCAAGGTTGAACATTGTTGTCTTAGTATCTGAGGGTATGTCTACACTACAGAGTTATTTTGAAATAACTTATTTTGAAATAACGAGTCTACACACAAAATGCATTTTCAAAATAGCTTTTTGCTATTTCGAAATAGCACGTCAACAGTGAGTGGACGCTGAATTGCATTTAAGGCCGGCTGGAACCAGGTCCTGCAGGGCATCAGGTAAGGAGTT